CACCTGCTTAACTTATTCTTGCCATGGTGATTGGTTCAGGCAGCCAATCAGCACACAGATTTTCCCTGGCAACAGAACTGGTTGAAAAACCAACTCAGGATAGTGAGATATGAAGGGAGAAAAGTGCCCTTGCTCTGGAAAACAAAACAAAACAAAACAAAACAAAACAAAACACCCTCTCTTTCTCTAGATGTTGTAAAATCCAATCCTTTTTTTTTTAATAATCTGCACTGTTACCATTTTGTCACCAAGTGGAAGCTACTCTGAGGATGAAAGTAAAGAGAGAGAGGATGTGGCCAAGCCCCCTTACTCAACCTCTCAGTCTCATCCTTACCAGTATAGAATGGCAATAATAATACTCCCCGCAGATTACTGTTAATTTCAAGGCAGTATATGCACTGTGATTATTAAAAACAACGGAGAATTGGGATGATATTAAAGTTTTGCTAATTTTGTGGTAGTATTTACATTTACATTTACACTTATGTTTCTTTAAAACAGTCTTTACCTGGCAGATATTCATAGTGAAACATTTACAGGTGAAATTTCAGTTTGGATTTGCTTTAAAATATTCCAGAATTTTTTAAAAAGTGGAAGAATGAAAGGTGATGAGTGAAATAAGAATTGTGAAATACTGAAGGTGAGAAATGGGTAAATGGCAGTTCATTATACTTTTCCACTTGTGTATTTTAATCCATAAAATACTAAATAATTATCCCTGCACATATCTCAATACTATGACCCTGTCTGTATAGAGCTGCCTTATGTGTTGAAAGGCATGATACATGAAGTAAATCAGAGAAAGAATCCAGATCCCAAGAAAAAGACATATTTATATAAGTACAACAGTCACCCACATGTAGTTAAAATGAACTTGAAAAACTACCTAATTCAATGCCTTGACTTTTACAACTATGAAAAGTGAAATCTAATACATTTCAAACTTTCATGTTGTTACCTAAGTAGGAATTCTAGTTTTGTTGTTTTTATCAACGATGTATCTGAAAATTGAAAATCCTAGCCTAACCTGGCACCCGGGACCTGCTCACCTTCACGTCCAGTGGACTGTTCTCCATCCTCACTTTTCAAGGCCACTGAGCCACATCTAGCACTTCACTTCTTATGAAGCATCTTATAAACATTCTTTTTCTTCCTGCCTCAGACCCCTGAGTTTCCTTCTCCCACTGGATGCCATGCTGAGAATTCTCCGCTCACACGAGTTTTGGGATTTTTACCTTCCATCCTGCCTCTTTCCTCACTTTACATGGCCATCCTGAGAAGAGCATCAGCTTCTGTGCTTTCTTCATCTTTTATGCTGGATGACCCCCTGGAGCCGTATTTCTAGCCCAGACCTTTAGATAGATCCTAACTCCAAAATGAAATTGCCTCCTCTGCCACAAAAAACTCAGTGGGCCCCCAGTTGACCTTCCCCCTCACTTCAGTTCTTTTTTGGTCACTGGCACCCGTATCCATAGGAGTCACCCTGATGCTTCACATCCGGCCACCAGACCCTGGAGATTCTTAACAGTCCTCCCCTTTCCTTTCCCATCTGCCTTAGTTCAGGCCCTCATCCTCTCCTTTCCGGTCATTTTGCAAGAATCTCTTAAATGATGAATGCTCTAAGGTCATCTTTCTAAATGCAAACCTCATCACGTCACTTCCTTCCTTAAAACTCCAGTGACTTCCCACTGAGGTTGAAGCCCATACTCCCTTACAGCTCTGAAGGCCAGTGAGCTGGTCTCACCACACCTCTCTCTGTCAGGAATCACTCTGCAAGACCCCCATCAACCCACTGAGCTGCTTCACGCCTAAGGATCACTGTTCTTTTGACATTCTTCTCCTGTCAGAAGGCTCAGTCATTCACTATTTAGTTCGCACACATACAGTGGATTTTTACTATATGATAGGCCCTGGACCAGGGTCCAGCAGTGGAGACTGAAAGGGTCCTAGCCTTAAGGAGCTTACAGGCTAATACAGAAATAGATATGAAATGAGTACACTCTGGCGGGGAGGGGGAGTTTGGGGTGGGAAGGGGTGGTGGATAGAGAATAACCTCCCCATGAAGGCATACTTGGTTTCACCTGCATTTTGTTACAATATCTTTTCCTGCTTCTTTGTAAACTAAAATGATTAAGAAGTGGCCTTTTTTTTTGGTTTGGTTTGTTTGGGGTTTGTGTGTTTGTGTGCATGTGTGTGTGTGTGTGTGTGTGAACTTGGGAGTTTCAAATGCCTTTCTCCTAAGATGAAATTCTGCCCTGCACTTCCTCTTTCTAGAATTCACAATCCCAGCATAAAACCTCAACAGATGTCAAATGTCAGCATTCCTGAGCACGCCCCCCCCCACCCCAGCAGCACCCTCAGGCAGAGCGGAACTGCCCTGTCCCTCCTCAAGACTCCAGCTGACATCAGCACATCCTAACCCTTCTGACCTTGCCACTCCTGGACAGGCTGAGAGTCTCCAAGGACAGACAGGAACAGCATCCCTGCATCTTCCAATTCCCCACATGAGACACTGCAGGCCCACAGTAAACGTTTAAATGTTCAAAGGGCAAAAAGTCACTCCTTAAAGGTAAATTACTTTGTACATTGAGCATAACTCTGTATAAACTTTTTGAATTTAGCAATACTGATAAAAACTTAGAAGGCCCAGAAGTAACACTTCTAGTTAATGTTCTACAGAAATCTAGAAGTAGACATAAAAAAGCACGTACAGGGATGTCTTATTTCAACATTTGACACAGGCGCTAAAAATGAGAAGCAAATGTTAATGACCATCAATAGAGATCTGTGTAAACACACGGTGCCAACCTTCTATGGAAGATCCTTTCTGCTTTAAATTTCCTATCACTGAATTGTCAGAACACAATTTAATATTTCTTAAATTTAAAACACAATCGAAAAGGTACTTTTTACACTAAAGTATACATTATTTCACCAGGTTCCTAATTAGGAAGATTATATTTTGAAATTCTGGGTTTTTCAAAAAAGATTAAATATTATTCACCGCTAAAACCCCAACAGCTAGAACAGAGACATACAGCAAGCACTTGGTTAATATTTGCTGAATGAATAAACTGCTATTTAATTACAAAATTGTTGTGCCCAGGGTACAAAGTATCTAATAGCTGCTTCACAAACTCACAAAGAAAAAAACCACTTGCAGAAGGTATCCCAACAAAAAGTTCCCAACCTACGTGAGTTAGGACTTCTTTTTTAAGTAAAAATTTAAAAAGTACAGACTTTCATCACATAAGCAATCATCTAACTACCAAGTTTACCAAGAAAAGGGCTCCTTCCAAATCAGTTGATTCATAACCTGGAGTCTAGCACATGGTTGGCCATACAACAGGTAATAAAAAGAAATATGAAAACCTTGGGTTAAAACACAGATTCTGTAACAGAAGTAAATCAGTAATTCCGCTCTACTTAAGTGCTTATATGGGGAGGTAATTAACTCTTAGCTTGGAATACTGGGTTCACCTTCATCTAGAGATGAAGCAAGCCCCTGACAAGCTGCCTTTTTATCCCCAGATCCTAAAAGGAAGGGAGAGATGAGACCTGAAAGAATGAAAGACAGCCAAGGTTTCAGGCCTAAGGAAAAAGACATGAATAGGTTCAAATTAAGTGCAATTTCTCCACCCTTTTTTGGGAGGACGATACAGTATATTTAACCAAATCCATTTTTATTTATTTATATATAAAAATAATGGCCAAGCTCTTCTTTAAAGCTTCCCACCCAAGGGAAGGCACTTTGAGTACTTGTTTTGGGACACTTGGACCCAGCAGTCTACTTAATTTTAAAAATTCACATACTCTGGATTTTTTTTAATCACTACTTTTGATTCTAAAAATTCCTTTGAGAGGGTGATTTAATCCTCGCTATGAAAACACAAGGTTCCAAATAAGCTGTCATCAAAAGCCAGTGAGATTAAAACACTTCTCTGTCAAACTAATGTAACTGGTGTTTAGCAAGTGAGTGAATTATGTGTGAATTTAAAAAACAAATCTGTGCAATCTTCTCCAAAGCCTACCTGTTTTTAAATGGAAGTAAGTTTTTCCAAGGTCTACCCAGGCTGAGGCATTTCTCCCTCTAGCAATGACTATCTAGATAAAGATGTCTAAGTTCACTGGGAAATCAACTACCTACAGTTCACTTACTGCCCTGGGTCTCTGCCCTCGCGGCCACTCCTCCACTCTTGAGGGCAAGGGCCCTGTTTCTCTTTTCCCGGAGACCACAGTTCTAGGTATGGAACAGGTGCTTCAGTGAGTACCCGATCTTGCCATTTCAAGGCACTTAAGAACTAAAAGCAAACAAACAGAAACTTTGGAAATTATCTAAAATTAAGACGCGTTCTCTTCGGCTAACAAATCCTGCAATTTTTTTTTCAAATTAGCGTATTTTCCAGCGTAATGAATCCTACAGAACTTGGAAGCCAACATCAACCCGCGGCGAAGCCACTTCTGTCTGAGAAGAGGGGGGCAGCTGTGCCAGAAACCAATGCAGTCCATCCCGAAATCCAGAGGGCGGGCGGCGGGCGGCGGGCAGCGGGCGGGGAGAATGGCGAGCGCCGCGTTCAAGGACT